GATCTCTTGTGGGGCTGGTTTAGTGGTGACGAACTCCTTCAGTTTTTGTTTGTTTGGGAAGACCTTTATCTCTCCTTGTATTCTAAATGACAGACTTGCTGGATAAAGGATTCTCGGCTGCATATTTTTTCTGTTCATCACGTTGAAGATTTCCTTCCATTCCTTTCTGGCCTGCCAAGTTTCAGTAGAGAGATCAGTCATGACTCTTATAGGTCTCCCTTTATATGTTAGAGTGTGTTTATCCCTAGCTGCTTTCAGAATTTTCTCTTTATCCTTGTATTTTGCCAGTTTCACTATGATATGTCATGCAGAAGATCGATTCAAGTTATGTCTGAAGGGTGTTCTCTGTGCCTCTTGGATTTCAATGCCTTTTTCCTTCCCCAGACCCAGGAAGTTCTCAGCTATTATTTCTTCAAGTACACCTTCCTCCTCTGGGATGCCAATTATGCGTATATTATTTCTCTTTAGTGCATCACTTAGTTCTCTAAATTTCCCCTCACACTCCTGGATTTTTTTATCTCTCTTTTTCTCAGCTTCCTGTTTTTCCATAATTTTATCTTCTAGTTCACCTATTCTCTCCTCTGTGTCTTCAATCCGAGCCATAGTTGTCTCCATTTTATTTTGCAGTTCATTGATAGCATTTTTTAGTTCCTCCTGGCTGTTCCTTAGTCCCTTGATCTCTGTAGCAAGAGATTCTCTGCTGTTCTTTATACTGTTTTCAAGCCCAGCGATTAATTTTATGACTATTATTCTAAATTCACTTTCTGTTATATTGTTTAATTCATTTTTGGTTAGTTCATTAGCTGTTGTTATTTCCTGGACGTTTTTCTGAGGGGAATTCTTCCGTTTCATCATTTTGGATAGTCCCTGGAGTGGTGGGGGACTGCGGGGCACTTCCTCTGTGCTGTCTTGAATAACTTGCATTAGTGGGCAGGGCCGCAGTCACACCTGATCTGCCCCCAGACCACCGCTGGGGCCACAGTCGGACTGGTGTGTGCCTTCTCTAACCCTCTCCTAGGGGCGGGATTCACTGTGGGGTGGCGTGGCCCATCTGGGCTACTTTCACACTGCCAGGCTTGTGGTGTTGGGGATCTGGTGTATTAGCTGGGGTGGATCGACAAGTGCACAGGGGTTGGAGGGGCAGGCTCAGCTCGCTTTTCCTTTGGAGATCCACTTTGGGAGGGTCCCGTGGCACCGGGAGGGAGTCAGACCCGCTGGAGGGATGGATCCGCAGAAGCACAGTGTTGGGTGTTTACGCGGTGCAAGCAAGTTCCCTGGCAAGAACTGGTTCCCTTTGGGATTTTGGCTGGGGGATGGTCGAGGGAGATGGCGCTGGTGAGCACCTTTGTTCCCCGCCAAGCTGAGCTCTGTCGTCCGGGGCTCAACAACTCTCCTTCCCATTGTCCTCCAGCCCTCCCGTTCTCCGAGCAGAGCTGTTAGCTTATAATCTTCCAGATGTCAAGTCCCGCTTGCCGTCGGAACACACTCTGTCCAGCCCCTCCGCTTTTGCAAGCCAGACTCGGGGTTCTGCTTGGCCAGTGGGCCAGCCCTCTGCCCCGGCTCCCTCTCGCCAGTCCGTGGAGCGCGCACCGCCTCTCCGCCCTTCCTACCCTCTTCCGTGGGCCTCTCATCTGTGCTTGGCTCTGGAGACTCCGTTCTGCTAGTCTTCTGGTGGTTTTCTGTGTTATTTAGGCAGGTGTAGGTGGAATCTAAAGGATCAGCCACCCATAGTTCCTTCTGAGCAAGATTACCTCACCATAAATCCATGGCAGGGAGAGAAACCCTAAGTAGAATCTCATGCAATATACCTGTGTTCCTTCTTGTAGGAGTTAGGGCTGCCAGGACAGAGGTTGACCAAAAGGTGAATAAGTCAGCAGCTGAGTACCTGAATTGTAACCAGAATGTTTTACTATTTCCTGAACATCTTTTTCAGTCTTGGTAGTACTTGGTTTTCTCTTTTTTTTCCTGACCTAGTAGTGCATCTGAGTTCTTATTTTTATTTGTTTTTACTTTCAGTAAATTCCTACAATAAGTGCTCATAATTTAAGATGATAAACTAATTACCAATCTCAGAAAGAAATAGAAAAGGAAGTTCAATTAATGTCAGGTCAAGTAAAATGTTACCAGGAAATACCATGTACTCATCTTTGCCGTCACCTGTGTTAGAAGGCAGGATGAGGCGCTGTCACAGGTTCTTCTTTGTCAGAGATTGACAGGAAGGTAAGACCTTCTCATTTCCCCCACATAATTCATGAGACTGATGACGCCATATTGAAAGGTCCCGTGGTCACATTAATTCTTTACCTACTTGAGACTTCAGTTTAATCAGTGTTCCCTTGTCTTTTTGTTCCAATGTTGATTTTGTTCACCCCCATCTCTCATTACTTGAGGTCTGGGTCTTATTTCTAGGCAAGCTAAAGTCTATGGTTAAGTTCCCAGTTTTATATTGCCTGAGATAATCCATGAATTAGAGACAGTCAGGTTTTGAAAACAGATTTCATTGCCAAAATGGAAGATTCGTGGCAAGCAGATATTGTGAATTAAATATTTGAGGATTAAGTTCTGTTTATTCTTCAGTTCTCACCAGCAAAATTATCAAAGGTATTGTATTAGTTTTCTGGGGCTGTCATAGCAAAGTGCCACAAACTGGGTGGCTTAAGCAATGGAAATTTATTTTTTCACATTTCTGGAGCCTAGGGATGTGAGACTAAGGTATTGACAGGCTTGGTTTCTTTTTAGGACTCTTTTTGACTTGGTATCTTCTGTGTCTTCACATGGGGTTGCCTCTGTGTGTCTGTGTCCTAATCTCCACCTTTTGGAATAATGCTACCTGAATTAGGACTCACCTGAATGACATCATTTTAAGTTAACTACCTCTCTAAAAACCCTATCTCCAAACAAATCACAACTTGAGATGAGGGTGGTGGTGGTTAGGATTTTAATCTACAAATTTGGGCGTGGGGGGGGGGACACAATTCAGTCCAACCACAATGTATTAGATACCAAATTCTTAGCTTTTTAAGAGTCATCACTTAGGATCCACATATAATCCGGGGAAGAGTTGCAGGAGAAATCAAAACAATGGAACACATTTGATGATGCTAGAGAGTCTCTTGCAAGGTCCTTTAAGTCTGTGAATGTCAGAGTAGAGTGGATGTGTGCCTTGATCCCAATATGAGGGTTGTATTTGTGCTCCTCTTGTTATTGCAGTTACAAAGAACAATAGAAAATGGTGGCATTGTATTTGTAGACAGCAGAGGACTGGCTATGGCCCTCAGTGTTTTTCTGGAGGGAATACAAATGTTTTCCAAGGCCTGGAATGGTTCATGTAAGTAGATGAATGAGAGAGACAAAAGTCAGGTTGATGGAGAGATGAGGCTAGACTAAGATCAAAGGGCTGTGTCAAGAAGCCCTTCATGATGGCCAAGGCTGGTATCACCATTGGATCATCATTACAGAGCAGAAGGAATCATAAAAGCCAGTCATCAATCTCAAAAGCAAGCCCTAACCATTATTCACGGTGACAAATGAATGGAAAAAATGCTGACTTCAGATGTCAGCAACTGATTCCAGTACAGGACCAAAGGATAGACTAATCTAAAAGAGAGACCCTCTCTGTCTTTGGCGATATCAGGGAGAAGCTGGATAAGCCCTGATAGTTTCAAATGGGGTTTGAAAGTAGCAATGTATCCATGAAGGGTGAGAAATGAATAAATGGGGCTTATGAATAAATCAAAAGTCACTGGGGAAATATTGGATTGGATGGAGAAAAGTCCATACCGAACTATGATTAGGTAGACTTAGGGCTCAAAATAAAAGATAAATGAAACTATAGACATAAATTTATAGAAATTAATTCCATTTTTACATGCCCAGTGTATGGTGACTAAAACTGCACTTTTTATATGTGCCAGTACTTTTTGTGTCCATACTTACAGCAGACATTGTAATCAGTCTTTATTCATCCTTGTGTATTCAGCCCAGAGTTCTTTTGCTACGTAAGTGTAAAGTAATTCACCTTACTGGTTTCTTAAATAATTCATTTTCCAGCTAATTTGTGAGCCTTTTCATATCCTGCCTTTTAAATCAAAGGCTCTCACTAGTAGTTTACATACATTGATTTTTACTCTATCTTCAGTGACCATATGAAGCATTTCTGATAGAAAAAAATACTACTTCATTAAAAAAAAAAAAAACACTACAGAAGAGATGCAAGTATAGGCCTCTGTAGAGAGGATACAGGTAAGGAGCTCCAGAAAGTGTAGGTTGATGAATGCACCCTGAGCATATGAAGGGTGTGATGTGTAGAGGCCCAAACATGTATAGAGGCACAGAGCTGGTTTAATAATAGTCAATTGAGTGATTGATGTCAGTTGTTTTGACTCTAATGACTCCAGAGCCCAAGATATTCAGCTGTTTTGAGAAGTAAAAGCAGGACCATGGTTATATCATGGCATGACCAGGGAACACGGCCTCTATATTTGGGAAACTCCTAGTCTGCTAGTCTGAGAGTGAGGTTACACACACACCCACACACACGCACAGACATGCATGCACATGCGGATACACACATGTATGCACACCTGTAAAAATTTTTCTAACAGTTTCAAACAGAATAGGTGGTTATGTGTGCAAAATATATTTGCACATATATATTTGATTTCTACATAGTTGTATATAAAAATTCTCTGGTAATTCAAGTGGCCAAACTTGGCTGGAAATTTATAAACCGAAGGAAATATGGGAGGTTCCTAATAAGTATGGAAGGAGTAAAGGGATTGTAATTTTCTGGAATCAGGGAGTATTTGGGGATGATCTATACTGCAGCTTCAGTACCAAGACTGGGTAGTCATGTGGAACCATGGTATGACGGAAAAAGCAGGGTAGGAAAGTACTCAGTGCAGGTAAAGTTGATCAAAGTGTATTCCCTCACGTGTGTCTATCTGGATGTGTGTGTATGAACACACACCAACACCCACACTCACACCCACAACTTTCAATCAGGGTTCATGGATTTTGTTGGCTTGTGTAGTAGAAAGCATATCCATTTGAGTCTTCACTCTGCTTATCAATTTCTCTAAGCCCCGTTTCATATCTTTGTTTCTCAAACTGTAGATAAATGGATTCAACATGGATGTCAGTACAGTGTAGATGATTGTTGCTACTCGGTCCTTGACAGTATAGTTGGACAAGGGTTGGAAATAGACATAGGTAATACTCCCATAAAACAGAGTCACCACAGTGAGAGGGGAGCTGCAGGTGGAGAAGGCTTTGCATTTTCCAGCCACTGAGGGAACATCGAGGACAGCAATGAGAATTCTTAGGTAAGAGATGATGATGCAGATACATGGGGCCATCACAGAAGCCAACCCTTCTGTCATGGCCATAACTTCATTGACAAAGGTGGAAGAGCAGGCCAGTTTCAGAACAGGGTTGACATCACAGAAAAAATGTTGGATTACATTTGATGCGCAGAACGTGAGCCGATTGACCAGGAGTACATGTAGGAGGGAGTGGAGGCAGGAGAAAGCTACGGAGAAGGCCAG